TTCGCTCGTTCGTCCGTCCGTCCGTCCGTCTGTTCGTCCGACCGTCAGTCCGTCCGACCGTTCGTTCGTCCGCGTCCGTCCGTTCGTCCGTTCGTCCGTCCGTCCGCCCGTCCGTTCGTCCGGCAGTCCGTCCGTCCGTCTGTCCGTCCGTCCGTCAGTGTGTGTGCGTAGGCGTATATATGTATTTGAGCGCACACACGCACTAACAACACTAGTCGTGATTTTTACACGTACTAGTGGATTGCCCGGAGTTAAAATACAGACCAGGTCGAATCTAAATATATACCGAAATGATAGCATACTACCTATTCTTAGACGATGCTCAATATTGTTCCTCAACACCGTTGGCGGTATATCTATTATATCCGACCTGCTTCCTCTTTTATTTATAGTTCTTTTCTATACATTCATTTATAGCTTTCGCCCTTACAATGGCAGCAACTGTCAGCTCTGACGTGTAATGCTATATATACGTATAACTGCAACTATTTACGTACGTAATCGATATTACACCTTGGGAGGTAACCCCAGTTAGAACTCATCGACGTAAACGCGCTCCCAGAAAAGATTTCTATGACGTTATAGTGAACCAAGATATTGCTAATTGCGACGAAGGATCAATACACTCTCTAGCATAGGCCTACCTTACCCGATGTTGAGTTACTCTACGTGATGTAACGGCTTCACTGACATCGCCGATGAATCTGAACAGCGTCACGCAGCCAAAACGCCTTCATAACCTCATCGGTGAAATGACCAACAATTCTCAGAACCGGCACCGGCGCGATTTTCGTCAGCACAGCTCTTTGGAGAAGGCACACGAAGTGTCCATGTCGTGGCTGAAGAAGGAAACCACTGTCTGGCAAACGAAGCTACAGCGCTACGAGTCGCTCAGCAGTAGGCGACCCAATTTGTCACCTGTTAAAGCAAGTTCAGCGCAGATGAAACGCGAAGAAGAATCTCTACCGTGCGTTGAGCAAAGCGACGACCGTCAAGGAATAACAAGCGGACGACCGGAAACGTCGGAATCTTGTCGCCAGCAAGATGGCGGATACACGCGTTCGCAAATTCACATCCCGCCTCTGTACGTAACTCACAGTCGGAGCACCGTGGGGTCTTCGTTATCGTGGAGTGGATGTTTAACAGCCGATTTTGCTCAACTCGGACACGGTACTATCCGACGGTATGTCGACAGAGCAGTGAACACAAATGGCAAGAAGAACGGCCAGCGTCAGGCGCTGTGGCCACAAAAGTGTATGACGCGACCCAAGTTAGAACGGAAGGCGAGTGTTGTTCTCGCTAGGAGTCCGGTACACGCCGCGGATGGCAGGCAAATGAGAGGTATGGACTTCTGATATAAATAGGTGTATATATATATATATATATATGTGTGTGTGTGTGTGTGTGTGTG